AATATCCTTTAGCCTCCTTAATTGTACCTTTTTTTTCCCCTTTAGGAGGGCAGACAAAATATTATCAGGGACGTACACGAAATAATATAAATTTACAGTCTTGTTTTTGGATGGACTCCCCCCTCCCCTTAAAGAATTCCTAGCTACTCCACTGATTGACTTTAACAGAGGGGTTTCCAATAGCATGCATGTACTTAGAGGCTCAATCAAGGGCAATGAGATGCTCTTTGTTCCCAAGCCTTTTTTTCTCTCTCTCTCTTTCTCTGTCACCTGATAAATAGCTCAGTCAACAATTGTCCTTAAAAATAAAATGGAAAAATATGGAGAGCTTGAAATAACTAATTTATGAGAGAATTTAGTTACCTGTGTGCCACACATACTGCACCCAAACATAAGTGCTGGCGGCAAAGAAAAGCCATTGCACAGGGATGAAAAAGAAACAGATCATATCAGAAGTGAGAGCAATACACACAAAAAATACTGAGAATGCCTGGAAAAAAAGAGAAAAATAAGTTAGAAAATGGGCATTCCTTACATTAAACATTTCAGTGTCTTGATTAACCAACTACATACACAAAGAACTGTAAATATTAAATTAACATTCAAATCAGGAAGGATTTTGGACTCCCTAAATAACATCAACTAATGAAGGAGTAGGCACTAAAATAAGGGTATACAACTTCTCAGTGATATATTGGTAGAAGATAGGTTTCGGATCTTCAAAAAAAAATGGTTGAATCAACAGAGGGCAAATAAATCTGAGCTGCTACGTTTATGCCATCTATTACAACTTCGAACAATAACAAAATTGATTGACTTACTTTCTTTTTCGCCCGATGAATTTAAATTCATCGGGCGAAAAAGAAAGTAAGTCAATCACGTAGTTCCCGATAAAGAAAACAGAGGATTAGGAATAACAAAATTTATCCAATTTTCTGCTAAGAATGAGAAAATAAAAAAAATTATCACTGTTCGCCTTTTAACTTCTGCTTTAATTGGTAGTTTTCCAAAAAATTATGACAAAAGTTGCTCAGTGTTTAGGTTTTTGGGTTTTTTCCTACAGGATTAAACATACAGTTGGAACCCATTTGACTTCAATATGCACGATTAACATGCTTCAAATAGTACACCTTGAACAAAGGGCATTGAATTTACTCCTTAGAGAACTGGGAAAGTTCTTCATTAATATTAAACCCAGGATTGAAAAAAATTCAGGATTCACTCACCAAGCCTTGGTATTTAAAGGAATCATAAACGCTCCTTAGAAGAAGCCAGAATGGCCACAGGAATTCAAACCGAAACTCTAAAATATAGTCTGCGGTTATAACAAGAAGCCATAGTAAGACAAATTTGAAATACAGCAACAAACTGAAACAGAAACCAAAACTGAACATGTAAGAACATAATTAATGATTTTGAGCAGAGTCAGATACACCTTAGCTCTGGCTATAAAGGTGATATTGCAATAGAGAGGGTTAATTGCTACTTATTAAGAGTTTAAACTATTAACGGTTTCTAATAACCCCCAAGAAGAAGGACGTCAAGCAATTATAAGGATAAGATTGAGGTTCAAAACTGTAAAACGCGAAAAGCTATGATAGATCATAAGTCAACTCTCCTCCAAGCAAGACTGATCAATAGATGATAAATATCAGAAAAATAAAAAGGACCAATACTTCAGGAAGGTTGCACCAAATAACTGAAACTTGCTGACAAAAATCAGTGGGGGCTCTAATCATACTGGTTCAGATCAACAGAAGGGCCAAGAAGTAAAGAGTTCATCAGAATCATTCAAATTGATAATTTTTGGTGTATGCTGATGCCACATGACTCATAAATGATGCATGAATAAAACTTTGAGTTGTAAATTCTTCATGCAGCATCTAGTATTCAACTTGTAATCAACTTGTTATCAGTGATAAGAACCACATGAAACAGATCCATCAGAGAAATTCGCTGTTCCAGAAATTGCAGTCAATTCTTATAAAACGAGGTTGCAGTCACTGGTGACAGTCTCTAATTCGAATACCCATTAGACAATACCATGGGAACTACTTTGAAATGAGTTCTTTTTGCCATGGAGAAGCAACTATATTTTGCTTCTTGCAATCTATAAACATTTGACTGTGGGAGACCAAGAGAGGAGCTGCGCTCCCTGACTTACCGGTTGGCCACTTAAGGAAAACTAAGGTATTCAAAGTTATTCAGAAGCTACAAGTAATGAGACACTAAATTTGCCACTTTTCACAGTAATTAGGTGATGAAGCAGATGGTTGACGATGATTAAAAGTCTGTGATACAGAGACCCTGAGATGGGCAAGTTTCCGTCACTACATGCAATTCTGATACAGTAGGAGGAATGAGGCTCAGGGTGTGACTAACGTCTTGAAATGAAAATTTCAGCAAGTTAGCAATAGATAAAACTTGAAAAAAAGACTACCGTGTCAAAATTTTGTTAAATAATAGACATATGGCGACCTTTCCTCACCTTCCATACACTCCATCAGAAATTTTGGTGCGTTTTATTGGCCTTCGTAGTTTGCCACACTCGGCATTTCTCCTCCTCATTATACTTAGCTCGTTCCAACTTAACGATTGTTTAAATCCTTCACACACACAAAAATTCCACGCTTTAAATGATAAAAAATAAATTAAAAGTATTAACAATTTCATAAGCCCCGTGAGTTCATTGAGCCTAAATATTTGTTATTACAGAGCTTCATGTTGATGCTGCATGTCGATACTGGAAAGAGGGAAAACGAAAAAACCGTACAAGAGAGATCTTCGCCGTTTTAAAAGTTTCTTGATTTTTGGTTGATTTCTTTCCATTTTTTCACTCTCTATAATATTATTTGTCAAATTATAAAATTAAAATCTATAAATTTCATTTCTTTTAGGGGAAATTAAATATAATTACAACATGAGCGTGGGATACAAATGTGTGGTTCAGTTGGTACGCTTGGTGAATTATATCGCCCGGTGGTGTTTTCTTCTCCTCAACCTCAACAGAAAACGCCATTTCGTGATTCCGCGTGAAGTCATGTCGAAGATTTGAATTTATTACTAGTTATTTATTTACTAAATTTATTTGTTTCTTTGTAATTGTAAGCATTTATATCGACGTGCGAAGTGTAAGTTCCTTTGACCATGGATCCCGCGGAGCTGAATAAGTTGAAAGTGGTGGATCTCCGCAAGATGTGCCAAGACCGCGGTTTGGACCAAAAAGGCGTCAAAGCTGTATTGGTTGAAAGGTTAGCTGAAGCCCTCGGATCCGATGGAAATGGTTCCAGCGAAGGTAAAGTATTATTTTTCACGGTGATTACAGTGGAATCTCATGTTTAATTTGTGGATTCTGTTTTATCTTCCCGGGTTTTCCCCCCATCTTCCCAGGATTAGCCCGCAGGGGGTCTAGGCACCCAATTGCCTAAAGCACCTGCATGCCTACTTACCCTTATTTACGATTCCTAACATTCAGAAATTACTCGGCCTGTAGCAATATTTGGGAAGTAAGAGACTTTGTTCACTTCAGATGAACTGTCTCAAAACTGAATCGTTCAACTTTTTGGTGGGAATCCCACTTGCGGAGAGGAAGGAATAATATCAGGCTAGCTTGCTACTACTCAAGCAGGCATTACTTAAAGACAGGGCATGCAAACATACGACTAAGATTACGAATCTACTCTATTAGGAAAACCTACTTTTGGTGTGCCAAATTATTTCTCACCTATCTCAATACTGTTTGCTAGGGGGATCTCACACATGTGATGGCCATGTGGGCACAAGTTAGCGTAGATATGAGCTCACACCACTCAATTTTATTGATCACGAAAGGATACAAACCATACTGATTGTGTGAGTCAAAACTCTGGTTTCTGAGAAGAATGCTAAAGAGCTATTTTTACTCTGATCCTTAAGTTGATAGTGATATTGTGATCTAGAGGTATTATTCCAGGTAATATTGTGTTATGACACACTTAATAATACATGCTATCGTCAGACGTACACTGCACACATTGCTCTGCAATATGGTTTAAATTCTCAACACCCGCCTACACGCTATCCTGCAGCAATTCATTCATGTTTCTGAATAGTAATTGCAGAAGCATGCGTGGTATTGGTGTAAGATAGTAAAGCATCATGCCCTAATGATCAACCTAACCTTGCGTTGTTTTAGAACTAGAGAAAGGAAAGAACAGACAAATGGCACATCAGAGAATGGCACCATTCAACGTAAATTTACATAGTAACCAATGGGCCAACTGATGCACCCAGATTGATGTGACATGGGTCTATTCTTTTCTTTCCCAAGTTCTAGTTGGCATGATACTTCCTCTCTGATTATTTATTTTTTTGATAGACGTTTTAATCTCTTTCTCTCATTTCTCCTCCTGTTCCTCATCTAAGTTGTGGTACCTAACAGGATCTTATTTTTGCTGGGAGATTATTTCACAATTAATCGGCAAACGATTATTGCCACTTACCATTGCTTTTTCATTTCTACTGAGAAGTTGCACTGAAACTTATTGAGTGAACAAAAACTGGACTTATCTGTCCACCTCCCTTTTCATCATTGCAGTCATTAAGAATCAACTATAGACGCTGGATTTGTCTGCAGCCATCTTAATGATGCAGGAAGGTACCAAAATCTGGAGTGAGAATAAGAAAGAGATGAGTTAGCAGTAGAGGCGAGAGACTGTAGGCGAAGAAGAGGGATTGTGTCTTGTGATGGAAAAAAGTATAAATGAGAGTTGCCACCACCCTGTGTTTCTTCTCCTTGCATTGAAGCACCTTTGGTCCAAGAAAATTTCTTCATCTGCTTCGCTTTCCCCTCCCCCTTCCACCTTTATGAGTAATCCTTGATCAGTGCTAATTTTTTAGGTGACAGCTTGCAAGAATAATGGAAGTGGCGTAATAAGCATCCAAGCCCATTATCCTTTTTGTGTACTTTGTTTTAAAGTATCAGCTATACAATTGAGATTTAATAATCATAAAAAGTCGGTCATTGCCATAAAGAGATATCATTTTTGAAAATTTTCGTGGGGTCCTCTCTCCCTGCACCCTTCCTCACACCCGGACACTTCCTCTTCCCCTAACCATCTTAGGGTAGAAAAATTCTGCCCACCTCAGAGTGGCAAAAAGTCAAATCAAGGCGTATGGGCATTCTTTCATCCTACAATTTCTGCTAAGGTAAGAAGGGCTGTTTATGTGTGACTAAATGCAACAATTGTGTGCATCACCCTTTACTTCTTGTCGCTTAAGCAAAGTTTGCATGCATTAAACTAAACCTCTTCCAAAAATTTTTAACTTGGAATTTGGATGCATTCTTGACAAATTTTAGAATTTGAAAACCCAATTTTTAATAAATTGTTTTATTTTGAGTAACAGCGCACCAAAATACGTCTGATCCTTAATAATTTCTCTATCACATCTTTCAATGTATCTATCGGTTACATGCTGAGGCATGATTAAATCAAACGGTCTCTTTAAACTTTGAAACATGTTTAAATAGCCCTCCCCTCCCCCCCATTGAAGTCACATAGTTCTGACTGGGGGGTCAAATTACAAATCGAGGGGAGGGGGAAGGCCCTTGGCTCTTCCCAGATTGTACACCCCCTCCGATCTAAAACGATGGAGACAATTTTTCAAGCGCTTATCATCCGTGCGAATGTGGCGGCTGTCATCGGGCGATTATTCCGCGGCTGGTGTGTGATTTATTCACACTCGATAATTAGGGAGCCGTGTCGTGGGAAGCGTGAGTGATCACGCACGAAATTGTCGAAGCACTTAGCGGCCGGCCTCGGTGGCTTCGGCGCGGGAATCGCTTGCACGAACGAACGACGAGCGACGTCTGTTGCGCGTGCGCCTCGCACTGGCTCCAGTCAATTATGCGCCTCGTCGCGTCGGCGTCGATCTGGATCGCGAGTAGCGCCTAGTCGGTGCGAGGATTTTTTTCCGCCACCTCGTGTTGCCGCCGCGTCTTCTGATAAGTTCGAAATTCTCTTTGCAGGAGTGGCCGGGAGCAGGGAGGAGTCGATGGACGCGGATCAGAACTGGGAGAGCAACGAGGCCTCGCGAGAGCCGGCGGACTACGGCGAGGAGAACGACAACGCCATGGAGGCCACCGACGAGGACTTCGAAGGTGGCCAGGCCGTCTACAACGAGATGGACGATTCCAACTCCCAGATGAACTCAAATTCCAACCAGAACTACCAGCCGGACGAGTCCCGCTCTCAGTCCCCGTTGGAGGAACAAAATCAACAACAAAATCAGGAGTTCAGCTATCAGCAGGATGACAGTGAGAGTCAGGGACAGTTCGCCAACCAGCAAGAATACCAGGAGCAGGAGGAGCAGGGATTCCAGGAGAACGAGTACTACCAACCGGAAGCGGCCCAGGCTGAACCGGAAGTCGAGGAGGAAGAGCCCGAGCCGACGCCTGTACCTGCACCTGCCGGCAACGTTGAGCCTGAAGCGTCTACCGGCATCGCCGCGCTATCAGTCGCCGCTGATAAGCAGTCTGAAATGGAGTCCAACGGAGTTATGGATGAGGTAAGCTCATTTCTCTCGTTTTCTATCGAATAATCTTCACCCAATGATGAGCCTTTTTTCTCTCTTACTTGTTACTCTACCGCGTTTTTAATGGTTGTCCTTGTTTTTTTTTTTCCTCTCCCCTCTATTGCGCACTGCTCTCATTACATATCTAACCTATGCGCTTCCTTGTACGAGCCTCGCCGCCGGCGAAATGTTGCTGACGTACCACTGTTGTATTTCTCAATTCTTGCTTTACCACTTTCGCTGGTGTGTAGGAGTGAATGAATTGAACGGCAAAATATGTTTTTGGGGTCATTAAATATTGTTTTGTCATACTTATCTGGATGCGAGTTAGCCTTGATTCGCTTGACAGGCTTTCGATCATGCCATCTTGCTCTACCATTTTACTGTACCAATCTTTGAATAAGCTCTGTTCCATACCATTGTTGAACTATAAAGATTGAATTAATAACCAGTTCACCTCTCCAAGAATGAAAAATGTTGCTGATTTTTGTATGTTCATTCAAGAGAACAAAATTTTGAGGTTATGTCGGGTGTCGAACATCTAAACTCTGGTATGAATTATCCCATTTTCAACAGTGCTGATTTCAATCTTCACCTCTATATCCTATCTATCCATTGTACCATTCTAGTCTTTTAATTTCATGGCAACAAGTGTATCAGTTACTCAACCGATTTAGTCTGAAGTTGGTCCGCTACTTAGGCCCTAACTGTCTGTGCAATGACACCATCTGTGCTCAATACTTCAAATTGTAGCTTTGTGAGTGTGTCCATTAACACACTTTGTAACCCTGATTTCTTATTCTTTTCCATATTTTCACACACCTGTCCTTTTTTATCCCCCTCTCTCTCTTGAACATGCAAGATACCTGAATGCTGGATTCACAGGCCATTCATTGTGTTCATTACTTCAACATATTCTCAAATTTCGTCCCTGCATTAAGCCACAGGTCTTTCTCTCTTTTTTGAAGCGCAAGTCTCTTTTCATGTGAACTCCAGTTTGCCTCCAGAAACATGCTTTGGTGTCATTCGTATTCAGACAAAATGTGAGGCATACCTACCGTACTGCCCTATTAACTTCGGCCTCCCATGGTGTAGTGGTTGTAGCGCTAGCTCTATGATCGGGATGTCCCGGGTTCGATTCTCGGCCAGGCGACCAGAATTTGATGGTCTCAAACAATGGTTACCTGGGACTGGTTGTTAGGGACGGAGGGGGGACAGGACTGAAGCGCAGGATTAGCCCTTGTGGGCTACTTGAAGTAGTAAGAAAAAAAAAATTTCACTGTATCTATTCAGTGTTATTACCTCCTCTTTTCAATCTTTGACAGAGAGTCTTAGTGATGTCGTATGTCCCAAAGATTTATTTACTTTTTGTGGGTTTTAGTTTAGTTATTCTCTGCTCTGAAACAGCTGGAAGGAATTTTGGGTGGACTTTGGCAAAATTACCAACATTCTAAACGACTCATCTGTTGAAAAGCATTTTTGTTGAAATGGGTTTCTTGCATGCATGAGATACAGCCAACTAAATATATTTTCAGGGGTAAATTCACTCGAAAATCACGTTGGGCACATCAAAAAAAGTCTGAAATCCACTCCTTAGTGCGCAATCTGTGTAGTTAGTAACAGGCTCTTTCAAATGTACCACTTATGTGGTCAGCTTTAGTGGTGGCCAGCAGTCAGGTTTGCATGGAGAGAGACCTAACCTCAATAAACAAACAATCTTGCAAACTGTTATTATCTCTCCTTGCGTAAGATTTCAATTAATTTAAAGCTTATGTTTTTGCAAAGTAAAGAAAGAAAAAGGAAGGTCTTTGAAACCATGGAAAAAGTTAGTGATTTAGTTTGTTTACTTAGGTTAGTTAACTCTTACTCCTCTGCCTGTACAAACCTGGTTGGCAGTGACTGAGAAAAACTGTCGCAGACATGCGAAACTTGGTATAGCTCATAAATTATGCAGTTTGCGCGCTAAGAACTGGATTTCAGATTATGTGCCCAACATGATTTTCGTGCGATTTTACCTGTTAAGAGGATATTTATTTGGCTATATCTCTTGCATGCAACAGACCTATTGTATTCATTGCTAAGGTTTTTTCAGGAATTGGCCAATATTGACACCAGTAATTACATGAGTAATAGTATGCATTAATTGTTGACGTGCGAGTACTAATTAATGAATTCCTTCCCTCGATTTAGGGTATCAAGCAAGAATATGATGAAAACTTTGCTCCAAATCCAATGCAAGAAGAATTGCAGGCTCCTGCTGTAAAACCAGAACGTCAAAGAAAGAACCGATGGGGCGACAAGGTCGAAGCTCCTGTCCAAGTGAAAGAAGAGGAAGAAAAAGTTTTAGAACGAGGAAGCGTTAAAAGGCGGCACTCACCAAGCCCAACAAGATCTAGGTTTGTATTGATTATTGTTCACCCCCTCTCCCCTTATTTTGTTACCTGTTCCATCTCGCCCAGAATTGAGAATTAAAAATTTAGATGATGGAAGCAACGAAGGCTGGTAAGCAAAGCTTGAGACCAGCCTCACAGGTGTGAAGGAGGATCCAGAAAAAGCCTCGTCTTGTCAACTTCGTACCATGATTTTTCTTCTTTGCTAAAATACTAATATGATATAAGAACTGAAACTTTATGTAAAAAGTTGAAGGAATGATATTGATTAGTTCTCCGTCAAAGAAATTAAATTGAAGAAGAGGTTTTTAAGCACCGCAAACAAGATATGTGGTCTAGTAGTCTCGCAATCGATATATGAAGTAAGTCTCAGTTCTTGATGCAATGATTAAGATCGGAGTTTTATTTTCTCTCATTGATTCAAAAAATTATGCAAGGTGCAAACTTCTCCACGAAGCAAAAAGCCAAATTGTGAGAATCCACTATCTAACACTTGTGTATTCCTTAGCGTAAGCATATATTTATACATGAGACCACCCTTTCATGCATTTCTCAAGTTCTTCATTGTCTCTCATAAAAGCCCATCACTTTGGTGCACTTGCACTGCTATGAACCTGATTTGAAGGCAAGCTTCGAAGAAAATAAGCCAAAATATCCAGGCGTCTCCTATAGGAAACCTCATCTAAGGTGATGGGATGAGTATATTTGTACACCCTGAATTACAAAGAATTGAAGCGATTCATGTTCATGTAAGGTAATTTTTAAAAATAACATGTAAAGCAGCGCTGACACCTTCCATGATTATTATTGGTTTTAGTAGTATCTCCAGCAAGCCAAATAATAATAAAATCAGCCATCACCCAAAATTAATTTTTCGCCTTCATTGCTTGTTGCAGGCATTCAGAACCAACGGTACCACTCAAACCAGATGATGAGCCACCATCCAACGATCAAGATGTCCTTCTTGGATGGTGTAAGTTCGCTATTCTTACTCTGCAACGTCATTAATTACCTATACTTAAGACAAGAAAAATATTACATTTTTTAGTTAAAACCAAATTACTGGAGGTCAGGATAATAGTTGACCTTGTTCCCTGTTTTCCCTGTATCATCAATCTGTCGGCAGAGACTGGTAGAGTAGGGGAACGTCATGCAATGGTTAGTGTCATTGAAGCATAAAATATACAGTCTTGGAGATTTTCATGCTGAGGATCTATCTGGATCAGCAATGGAGAATTGATCCAATTCAGGTCCAAAGAATCAATCCATCGAAAACATCTAAAATATCAAATAATTTTAATATTCCCTGTTAGTTTTCATTTTGTGGAGGAACTGGCCTCTATAGTTCGATATTATTCTACGATGGAGACGGAGAGTGGCTTCATACTTATACTTTCTGCCCTGGCGTATAGCAGATTAAATTTAGTTCACATGAGGCTAAGTAAATTTAAAAAATCCTGGATTTTTCTACATTTAGTTTACTGGGAAAAGAAGAACAATTGGATGGTCTGAACTTGCTTCCTCGGCAAATTTTCTCACTCATGCTCTTGCTCACCTAGTAGGAGTTAGTTGTAATTTACCTGTAAAGCCAATGCCTATTTGAAATTCTTAAACTATATTTTTTTTCATATTAGATGATTCCGATTTGAATTTGAAAATTGACCCCAAGAACTTCCGTGAAGCCTCTCCGATGAGTGATCAAGCATTTGCATACATCTGGGCAGGTGCAAGAGCTACTTACGGTTTCAACTCCGGAAAAGTTTACTATGAAACTAAGGTAAATTTTCTTACTATTATGTTCATTCATTTTCTCATAACACATAACTCATTTCATTAAATAGATTCATAAACCTTGTTACCTGCAGACCAATATACAAACACCATTGGTTAAATCCTCACTTTTTCATCTCAATGTGCTGTCCGTAGGATGAGAGAATCATTTAACGCTAATCGGCACTAATGGCGAAAATAATTATTTTTTGTTTCACCAATAGCTTTCTTTAAACATTCTTTAATCAATCTTATCTGCTCTCAGAAAAGGTTGCATCCTTGTACGTCCAAACTATGTCAAAATCAGTTTTCAATTCCCATGGGGAGCGTCCCAAGTGCAACCCGAATTTTGAGTTGAAAGTTTGCCTGTCAATGATACTAAAGATGATATTAATGACCCCGTGTTTTATCAAATGGGGTTGGGAAAGCCCCCAAAAATAACGAGGAAGATGTGCGAAATTCGAATGGAACCACTGTACGGGCCACTTCCAACGACGCAAGGTAGACATAGTAGACGGAGTCCCAACTCCTGTACCTTGTAAGACCGGTAGTGGAGAGAATGATTTAAATAAGTATGTCAGTGAAAAATAAAAAAGTATAAGTGACATAAAAAATGAAGTGATGGAGGAAGGATACGATCCGGCGACCTCTTGCTCATGAGCTGAGCCTGTTACGGTTGGGCTACGGGGGCCGAGTGAGGAGTCGGGACTCCGTCAACTATTCTTACCTTGCGTTATTAAAAGTGGCCCGCACAGTGGTTCCGTTCGAATTTTGCACGCATTTTTCCCGCATCTTCCTCGTTATTTTTGGGGGCTTTCACGACCCCATTCGAAAAAACGTAAAAATACAAGGGTCCCTAATATCAGCTCTAGTCTCTTCATGCGAAATTTCAATTCTGTTCTTAGGATTTTTACTGGACTGTTCTTTGAAGATGCAGAATGTCAAAGCTGAAGTGATCATTTATCCATTCGTATTTGTAGTTTAAATTAAAATATAAATTAGAGTTTTGGAAATTAGCTCATTATTTGTATCATTCGGAATCCTGTTATCAAAGAACGATACATCTCAAAATTCAGTAACTTTTCCTTAAAGGTTTTATGTAGATAGGTACATCAGTGTCAGTACTTTGCTTTCACAGCATTTTGAGAGTCCCTATTGCTGAGTGAATTTAAGAAATATTTAATCTTCATCCTGTGACTGTCAATGGAGAAAGTTTATAGTGCACAGAGAAAAATTTTTCGTTATAGCAATTTTTGTCAAGCTTGTCTGAAAAATCAAAATTTCTGTTCAATGGCCCCAAGAAAAAGTTACAATTGGTTCAGTTCATTTTCGTGCCAAGAGATGGCATAAACTTATGAATGTCCAACAACACATAGCCCTAAAAACGGCAGATATAAGTTTCAATTAAAGTTTTTTAAAGTTTTGGTTTGTAACGGCAAACTTCTAATCATCTTACCTCCTCTGTGATTTGCCATTTTCAGGAATCTTTTGGGCAACACATCTGTAAAATATTCTTCTTTGTTATTGTACTAAAATCTTGATTTTGAGGGGGGGGGGGGTTAACTAGGCTCCTTCTCCTGCAAATGGTTAAGTACAAATATTTGCATTGCTTACAAAGCATTTAACTTTTTGTTTAAAAGATTTAAAAGCTCCTAAAACGGTTGCCTGCATTAATCTTTTGTACTAATCCATGTGATATTTTTGTTTCCCAGCTTGTTGAAAACAATGACACATCACATATTGACAATGAACCAGATCCCAATGTCATGCGAATTGGTTGGTCAGTCATGTATGCAAACATGCAGTTGGGTAAGTTTTTTTCTCCTTTGTCTTTCTTTGTATTGCCATGGTATGCTTATCCTAAAAATATGCTTGATACGTTTTTCTTTTTCTTTCAAGACCTTGTCAGGGCCTATGAAAGTGAGAAATATTGAAACTTAGAGATGACCAGAAATGTATGAGGTATCTACCGTCTTACAGATAATCAAGCTTGACACATACTTTACCTTCTCAAGATTAAATTGAGCATAAGTATATTTTTGCGAAATGCAGTTTTTTTTAGTTTTTTTTTTTTTTTTTTTTTTTTTTTTTTTTGTTCTTTTCATGTCTGGCTCTCCAAAGAATATTCAATCAGTCCGTAACTAAGATATTGCATTATGTCACCTAATCTTAAACTTTCAATTTTGTCTAGGTGAGGAACCCTTGTCCTTTGGTTATGGAGGAACTGGAAAATTTTCTCATGACAACAAATTTTCAAATTATGGAAAACCATTCCAAGTTGGCAATGTTGTCGGTGCATATTTGGTAATTTTTTTTCTCTGTTCTCTCTTAATCGGTAATGTTTTTATCATTGGCAAGTTTAATGTACATTTAGTATCTCTGGGCTGCAACCAGTCTCAACTGAAAATTCTAACACTTACCCTGAAGACTTGAAATTCTTTCTGTCACTCCAAACCTGCTCACTTTATGATCTACATAATTCATTCTAAATTCTATGTTTCCATCGGTATTTAGTGAAAAGTCTGCTTTTCAACATCCTGGCTGGTGATAATAGCGCTCTGGATGACTTACCACCATTTTCAGAGACGTCATACAAGTGAAATAGAACTTTGCTTGTCATGGTTTGTACGGGAAGTATTACACTGATTTAACGGAAAAGAATAATTGCCTTTATCTGAATAGATAGTTTTATTTTAAGTACAATGATTCTTTTTAGATTCAGTGTTGTCACTTTTCTTTAAACAGCTGTAAGTATGAAAATCAAGATTAACCTAGTAGCAAGTAATTAGTTTTTACATATTTGTATTGATATACCAGTTACTTGTTATGCTTCTTCAGTACCGTCTTTAAAAATATCTAAATTAATTAATAGTGAAAAATTTATTTTCAGGGCGCAGGATTTTATATGGGCACCTTCTTACTTATTTAATGAAAAAAATTGATCAGTTTCCTTGAAAGGTGCTGACACTAAGTTTGATTGCCTCCCTAATTTTTCTGTTTGGGAATTTTCAGGATTTTGAAAGTAATCCGACGCACATCGAAATCTCTTACTCAGTTGATGGACAGCATTTAGGTGTAGCACATTCAGTTGAAAAATCCACTTTTGGGTCAAGCCCTCTCTTCCCTCATGTACTAAGTAAAAACGTACGTTTTGAATGCAATTTTGGCGCCACCACTTGGTTTCCTCCGATAGAAGGCTTCAGGTATGCAGGGCATTTTGCTCTAGAAGAACGAATACCTGGCCCTAAAACACCACCGACTCGTGGGGATTGTGAAGTAAGTGTATTATTTTTTATTTAATAAAAACTTTCACGAACTCATCCTTTGAACTTCGAGCCTATCTACTCAGTTTCTCGTATCAAAAGTCATCAGATTTGTGAACCATGTCTTACTTTGATGAAACAGGAAAGCCATTAAAATAGCAATCTACCGCCGATAATTAGAATTTACGACGGAACTGAAAAGAAAAATGTCAGCAGTGGACATGAAGATGATTTAAGTCTATATCTGAAGTAGTGCCCTGTTGGGCGACGAGACCTCCAAGTAAAATTTAGCATTGAGCGGTACAATCTTCTTCTATTTTGCGGTGCTTTGCAATTCTGTTAAATATTACAGTTTTTATCTTGTTCTTGTGTCCCAAGTTGTTTCCCATCTTCAGTTCCCTTCTGACTAGTGCACAAGTGCCTTTTTACGATGAAAGCCTTAGCCTCAGCTGTGATGGGAATTTTCAACAATATAAGAGCAGACTAAGTAAACATGACCCTCTAATCTTAAATTTCTAATCTAAATATGACTTTATTTTCAGATCATAATGATGTGCGGTTTGCCTGGCTGTGGAAAGACAACTTGGATCAAAGACTATGTTGTGCAAAATCCTGAAAAACTTTACAATATCCTTGGAACGAACAACTTAATTGACAAAATGAAGGTAACATATCAGTTTTTTTACCTCTCTCCTCATGATTAAAACCTTAAAAAAATTGCAAATCCTCATTTGAAAGTTTGCTTTGTACTGAATCCTTTCATCTATGCTGTCTCCAGGAAAAAAAGATAAATTGTGTCAATTTCAACTAGTTAAGGGAGAAATTCTTTAAAAAAAAGTTCTTTGTTTGAAAGGTAAATGTGATCAAAAACAAAAATTAGTATGGAAATGCTAGTAAAGGGTATAGACAGACAACTTGCTGCATTACAGATACGTGCTCATCAAATTCTCTTAAATTTCTTTTTTTCTTGTTAGCAACTTGTCATACTTAAATTTATGTCCGGAGTGCAGAAAGTTCAATCGTTAAACGCTTGCTGTGATCTGGTGGATTCTGCCTCATGGTGAAATTGTCGATTTGCCTCATCTGGTCAGAACTGACAAGGTTTTTCTCTTCTAAGAAGTATTGGGAGGAAAACCAAAGACCCTAGAAGAAAACTAGAAATTTGCCCCCATGCATTGGTAATAATTCCTAGCAAGTTCTGGAAGATGATGAAAGCCGCCTTGAGTGTTGTTCATTGCACCCCACAATAATCCTTGAACTGTTGCTGTTAATGAAAAAAAATTGGAGAATCCACAATCTTCTACATGTTATAGTTTTAGAAGTAGCAAATAGAAGCCCCTGACTAAAGATGCTGCTAATAACAGAATATGAATTTATTTCACATGATGATCCTATAATTTGTCGTACTTCTTTTTTGAGGTTTTGATATTGCCTCATACCCAAAATCTATTTGCTTGTTGTGATCCTTGGATTGTCAGATTTGGCATTTTCTGGTCATTGCAATCATTAGATGTTGATATTCTTCAAAGTAGAAAAACATTTTCAATAATAAAAAATCAAGATTTGCTCTCCTATTCGGACGTATTTCTTTCAAACGGAACTAAGCGCCATAAGGAGAGGAAGGCTTGGTTTGGCAGGTGTTGCGGAACGCGATGCTCGTTCTGTCCTGTACTCGCAATGCTTTTCCATGGTGCTTAGTTCCGTTTGACAGAACGCGCTATCCGGGATTCTAAAATCTCATAAGGAACTCAATTTGGTGCATAGTTCCATTTAACAGAAATACGTCCATTTTTATGTTGGACCTAGATGAATAAGATACAATAGTAATTCAACCAAAATACTGATCTACTCACTTTTCTCCTCCCTCAACAGGTGATGGGTCTTCCACGAAAGAATAACTATGCTGGTCGATGGGATGTGTTGATTGAAAAATGCACCAAATGTTTGAACAAACTACTAGAAATCGCTGCTTATCGACGAAGGAATTATATCATTGATCAGGTAAAATTTTCTCAAGAGACCCTTTGAAAGGATTTTAAGCTCAAAGAGGCCATTACAGACTTTTGTCTCTGGATGTACTGTGTCCGTCATTCTTCCAATGATATCTCAAAATAATAAACACTGTCAGCTGACATTGAGCTAGCTACTTTGATTATTGAACAAGTAGTATCGTTCGTATGACCAAGTCACCATCAAACTCGTACAGAAGAGTCCAGAGAAGAGTGTTGGAAATTTTCAATTTTAAGGTGACTTTGAGATCCAAATTTTCCAAGTCTTTACTTAGAGCTTTCCTCCTCAATTGTGTAATCTCAACAGTCGTTGGCTCAAAATTGGCTATGTGTGTTATTGTTTTTTTTGTTGTTTTTTTTTGCCTCTGAGCATTCAGGCATGATTGGCTTTGCAAATGTCTTTTATTTAATCGGCTTTAGGAGGAAAAATCATGAATTTCCAACCAGTGTTCCTCTCTTTATTATTTCAATTTTATTTTGTAATAACTAATCACTGGGAAGCTGAAAATACAAAATTAACGTACCGTAAGACCAAACCTTAGAAAAGTACCATGTGTTCTAGAAATTAGAGTTTATAGTTTTGAATTCAAGTTGATGCGTCAATTGCATTTTGCTCCTCTTAACATTTTTTAAATCTTATTATTTTGATTTTCTTCTTTATAATTTATAATTATTTATTTTGAAATCTTTTTTTTTTCATGTTATCTCTGTTACTCAAAGACATTTGCATATCTGATCAATTTTTCTCATATATTTTGTCTTCTCAGGATAGTCTCTTCTATTATTTTTAGTTTTAAGATTATATGTGCCGTAAATCTGTAAATATAGGTCTCTGCAAATTCAGGTTTGTACCTCTTTTCTTATCAAAGTTTTCAGGGCCCCTCTTGGCTACCTAGTGAGTATGATTTAGTGTTTTTTTTTCTTTCTTTTTGCTTTTGTGTGGTTGTTGTGAGTGAATGACTCAATTTGCCATCCTTGAGAAGGGTCATACGGGAATGTCTAGCGAGCGAATGGAGGAAGCAAATTCTAGGAAAGTCTAGGATGAATTAGTCCCAACTTCTTAAATTGAGAATCAGAGTGAGATATATTTATTTTTTCCTTTAGTTACCGATTGACCCAGATGTATGCTATAATGCATCAAAGGTGAGGTTTGAGAAATTATTTTTTAGTGCAGAACTTTTTTCAAAGTTGAAAATTTTCATTATTGTTCCATAGAGAGTTTATTATGCTTTGTTCAGACTCTTTCTTGTGTATGAGTTAGTGAAAAAGTTTGCTAATCATTATTTTTTGAGATTTAAATTTTGTTAAGTAGAGGGAACAGGCTGATTAAGAGTCTCCTCTTCATTACTCCCATTCTTTTTATCTTCTTGTCAAACATTCTCTCCTTATTACGCTGTTTTGTAACTTAATTACTTGCTATCATTCATCTTATATCCTTTTTAAAAAATCCTCAAATATTTGAAGTTAGGATTGTATGTAATGATGATCGTGGCCAAATACTAAACGCATTTTATAATAGTAGAGCTTTAAGTTGGCATCTAGCAGACTCAACTGTCAAGGTGAGTTTAGATTTAAGTTAGCTTTTAAGTCTCTTGATCAATGGAGGTTTTATATATTGACATATATACTGAAGTATTGAATAATGAAATGAACCTTGTGTTGAGAACTTATTATTGCAGAGAAGCTCTTACCAATTTATCGTTGCGCCCTCTCATAAGTTGTTGGATATCCATCGACAAAACATGCTGATGTGTATTCAACATGAGTCCCAACGGTACCTATATTATCTATATCTCTTGACCTCCAACATTATAGACGAACGTTTATCCAACGGCTCAAAAACGTAAAATGCGCAACTTTGTCGGATTCAAACGACGCGCCGTAGTCATTGTACCAACTGATGAAGAGTTCAAGAAACGTTGCGAAAAGCGTGACAAGGAAGAAGGAAAAGATATTCCTGATTCAGCTGTTCTTGACATGAAAGGTGTGTATTTGGGTATATGTATATATATCTGTTCTCGTTTGCCCTTATTCCTCTTAACAGTTTATTATTTATTATCAGAATCGTCACTCTCTGATCAGTTTCCTCTAATACTTCTTCACGATATTTTTTTAAGCCTCGTTAGATTTTGAACTAGATGATTCAGTCAGAAATATTTCTTTGAGTATGCCACATCTTTTTCATCAGAGAGTTTTAATGGCATTTAAATCAGTTCGCATATTTTTACCTTAAGTTTTCATTTTACTTGGTGATTTCTTTTTTTAGGGTTTTTTAATGATGTTGCTCTTTTCTCCTCCTTCTAGCTAATTTCCGACTCCCTGAAGAGGGTGAAATTTTCGACGAAGTAGAGTTCATTGAACTTCAAAGAGAAGAAGCACAGAAGTTAGTCGAAATTTACAATAAAGAAGGTCGAGACGCTGGCTATGGAAAGAAACAGTCTAGCTTCAGCTCCGGGCGTGACTCAAGAGGCGATAAGAAATTTAAGTCTGAACATGACTACCCCTCTAGAGATAGATGGAGCAGTGGTGACCGAGGTCGTTGGGGTAAGTCATTTTTCCTTTCATATGATGTCTTATTTTATAGCTGCTGAAGACATACAGGCTTGCTCTCACAGCTAGTCAAGAGGGGTGTAGAAACTTCGTCCAAGCCAATATTAGTAATAATCAGCCTCAGAATTCCCGTACTCGGTCTAAAGATGGAGAAAACTCACACTATATACACTCTCGTTACCAAAAACACATTGAAAAATTCTGAATAGTGGAGATTTTTTTTCTCAGTGTAAATTTTAGTTATTAGGTCGAAAACTTGAAAGGGATATTTTCTGATATGATCATGCTCACATATTTGTTTGTAAAATTGTAAGTTGCTTTCAATACACAGTGAAACCTTAATGTAACAACTTTTAGAATCATGATTTTCAGAATGATCATGATAATGAAAATGTAGTACCTATCAGTCATTCCCATCGAAATCCCTTTTCTTGCAATTTACATTTTTTTGCAAAATGACATCGCCAAAGCCAGCTTTGATTTGAAATGAAAACCATATCAAATAGGAATTTTGCTTCAAAAACTCAAGTACACACTGTGTATAGACTAACCGTATGAAACATTCTTAATTTCTCCTGAAGAATATTTGATCGGATAATTTTTACCACTTTTCACTTGTATTATAATGTTGTCAAATGAAATAGTAGATCATTTCAACTCATTTCGACTTGCTCAGTCAGCAAACCGATTAACTCTTAGTGCTATTGAAGTTAAAAATTAATTTAACTGTAACTATACTCAAGTCTGATTAAAGTATCACCACCTGATTGGCATGCTGATACAAAAAGATTATTTTGGCTTCCGTAAAATTGTAGATTGCCCCTGATAATAATTGTGTCGAAACGGCTCTTGAGATCGAATTCTGAGGCGACAACAGAACCTAAAGAGCATGTAAACATTTGACCACAAAGCTCAACAAAGATTTTAGAAGTTATGTGTGGAGGAAAGCCGATAACAGGTGCCAAGGTATGAAACAATTTTGTGTGAAAACAGAGACTTCTTGGACTAGTTTTTTGAGGTATTCCATTCACCAAGCCTAAATGCTTAAAACTTGGTTATTTGGCAATTCAAACTATCTCTAAGCAAAACCTGTTTGAATGCTAAAATAACGTTGAAACTCATGGGTTTGTTTCTAAACATCATGTGAATATTAGAGAGAGTTCAATACTACAAGAATTACATAGAAGTAGTTACTTTAGCTATTGGAATGAAAATAGCGAAATGTTTCATGGGTTCATTATTCAGGAAAACACTTGAAATTCTTTGTTATTATTTACTAAATCTGCACAGACTAGTGAAGTGTACTCAGCTAATACTAAATTTGCCTAAGACATTATCACCATCAGAATCCTCAGTTTGTCGCAGACACAAATGGACTGCGTTAAACAGAAAGGAACCAAGCCACATCTGCTATTGCCAAATTTAGCTGGGCAATTTATTTTTATACATGAAAATGGTCGTGCGGATTTTTGTGCAAATTTCAGTGAATATTCTCCGTAATACAAAGCAAATTCCTTTAAATTTTTAAAGGAATCCGCACAAACGTTCTCTCGTAAAAAATTGAATTGCCCAGTTAAATTTGGCAATAGCTGATGTGGCTTGGTTCCTCTCTGTTTAACGCGGTCCAAATGTTGTTGCTCAAGAAGCTATTCTGACAAAGATTTGTTTAGAAAAAGAGTAGCTTAGTCATAGCGCAACCTAGCCTAAGAGTCCTCAAGTAATCTAAATCAAGATCCTAGTGGTGGAGCTCCTAAGTGTGGGCACTATGCCTCATGCCCAAACTTAAATGGTATCATTATTTCTGATCAACAAACAGGAAAAAAATATTTGTCTTAGGAGTTTGATTTGATGTCCAATGAAACCTTCAGTAAATCAATTATGTCTAAAGCAGACGTTACATTGAGGATTGTAAGAATATTTTTCTCAGATAGAATTGCTCCAAAATCGACTTTAAAAAAGAAGACCTTTCAGTTATGCTTTTAGGTTTCTATTTATTCCCTTCACCACATTCCTTTCTCCAGTATGCTACTGACATGATCAATTTAACGGCTTTCGCCCAACATCCATTTGTTTCTTGCATGTTAGTAAGTTATGCATCCCATTCATAAGATTTTTCTCTTATTTCTGCAGGTGACCGTGAATCCAGAGGAGGGTGGCATCCTCGTGGTGGAATGGACCGTGATGGTGATAGAGGCCACCGTGGAAGAAGTGACTCGCGTGACAGAGGCCGAGGTGGTGGATGGCAAGACCGGTAAGGATCTGTTATGAACATCTACCTATTGTGATATCTTTAATAAGAGACTAATCGTTCACAGAGATGTCAGTTGCTTTGCTGTAAACTTGAGACTCGTTCATAGCTATCGTAGCAAGTAATGCCACTCTGCAGCCTTCAATTAAGAAGCAAAGGCATGTCAATTCAGTGGTAGTTAATCTCAAAAGTCATTTTGCATTCTGTCGCTTAATTTTTCTGTGCCAAAAAAATTAGTACGTCCTGCAAGATTTTTCACTTGAGTCATCAAAAATTACTAGTCAAAGCCCAAAAATTAAAGAAAATTCTTAATTTCTTTTATTTTTTTCAGAATGAGGGGTGGCCCACCTATGGGCAGAGGTTTTAGAGGTGGCAGAGGTGGACCGGACTGGCGGTCTCGCGACGATCGAGACTTCGATGGTGGTAGAGGTGGAATGAGAGGTCGCGGAGGTATGGACCGTGGCGGATTTAGAGGGCGCGGAATGCCTCGTGGTGGTCCCCGAGGAAGAGGCTTTGATGGTCCTCGAGGTGGACCACGCGGACGCGGTGGATTTGGTGACAGAGATGGTTTTGGTGGAGATAGAGGCTATGGTGACAGAAGCTACAATGACCGAAACAATTTCAATGACAGGAGTTATGGCGATAGATCTGGACGAGATGACAAGAGACGGGTAAGCTCTGGCACATTTTCCTCCTGCTCAGAAATCCCTTGCACATTATCAATGCCAGCTTTTGATTTTGATAACTGATGAGAATATCCAATTAACATTCGAATCTCTCAACCTGCCATGTCCATCAAGCATTTATGGAATAATCCGAGCGTCATTTTGAAATATTATCATTAAGATTATGCCTTGCATTAGGCTCCATGCTCCATGGCATGCTTGGAAATGGCATGAAATATAGGAGTTTTACTTGGAGGAAAAATCATGTATTTAGTGTGACTTGGCCACCTTAATTTTGAAGCATGAAGCAAATTATGAAACCAGGTGTAAATATTGCTGATGACTTTCAGTGAAAAAGCAAGACAAATCTGTTTGTTTCTGAAGCCATTTTGATGCCTATATGTTTTTGGAAAATTCACTATTCGCCCTAGGAGCTGCCAATAATGATTTCTGAGATTTGTAAAGACTCACCTTTGGTAAGAGATAGAGCAAACTTTTTGGTTGACATTTTGTGCATAATTTGCAGCCTTGCTATTTTCGAGGTGTGAGGAAATTTTTCACAGCAAAACCCAAGTAATTCTAATAGCTACGAAATACATATAAAATGTTTTATTGCTTCCTTTTACCTTTCTCAATAGCTCACATATTCTCATATGTCCGTTAGACCCATGTCACTAGTGGCTGGGTCATTTATTCGGGTTAAATGACGGACTGGTTTGTTGTTAGTGCTAACGGTAATTAGGATGACTAGAGAATTTTGAGAAAATCTTTTTCTTCTTAGTCGCTGCAAGTTGGTAGCAATCATATCTATTAGAAAAAAAGCCAAACATCGAATTACTGAAGGATAAATAGAGGGAATTGAACCGTTGAAAAAAATCAGTGAAGTGGGAAAAAGATGACATGACCATGAAATATCATTTTAGACTCAGCCTAATGTTGCATTTCTTGTTGTCACAGGATGGTAGTGAAAGAGGAGGACGCGGCGGAAGTCGAGACGGAGATGCTAGCCAGAATCGTAATCAGACAGCTAGTCAGAATAACATGGCTCAAAATCAGAATGCAGGTGGAAATTGGATGCAAGGATATGGTCAGAACCAAGGTTGGGGTGCATGGAACAACTATGCCAACCAGTGGAATCAGTACAACGCAGCCGCTGCTACAGCAGCTACCCAACAGCAAGGTGGATGGAAACAAGCTGGTGAGTTCTGTTCTCTTGAATGTAGAGGAATGCAATCTGTCTTAAGAGAGGATTTAATCTTTTCCACCTGGTATCCCAGGGTCAACATTCTTAAATTTCAGGGATGAATCTCAAGACCAGAATCAAACTGTTCTGTCCCCCGATCAAAGGTCCTAAAATCCAAATCTTCCAGAGCCACAAAGACGCCAAGTAGTGGGACAAAATCTCCTTCCCTTTTAAATCTTGAATTTTGGTGCTAAGCAGTAATTGTTTGTTCATATCTCATACTGAACTAAGTTGATAGTATGTAACAAAGTGGAGACATGATGCTGGGTCCACACCATTTCACAGGGAAATCAAAGCCAGGAAGTTCCAAATTTTATAATTAGAGTCAAAAATAAATTTTGTAACGCTAATGAGTACCAGTACAAAACTGAGGGAGGAGAGTGTTCAGCTCAGGCGGTTTGCATTGGAATATTAAGTTGCAATCACGCCGAGATATCTATACCGGTGTGGGTGTCTTCAGACCTCATCAGCAGATCACACTCGTCAGTGAACCCAACTTAACATGCCGTAAAATGCAAGACGGCATTAAAACGCCGTCATGGATATGACCCGCAAGGCGCAAAAGTGTGATCCTCGCGCCATCTACCGTTGCTGCTGAACAACTCTGGTAACAAAACAAGGAAAACCTGAAAAAATGATTATCAGGCTGGTTGGAAATGCGAGCGCATCTAAACTCAACCGCCCACTCCCGAACGGGAAAAACACTTATCCCCAAACTGTGTGTACAAATGAGAGGAAAAAACACAAAGAAGTGGTCTGAACTGTATGTATCAAGGTGGAGAAATGGTGCTGGGTCCACATCATTTCGTGGGGAAATCAAAGCCAAGAAGTTCCAAAATTTATAATTAGAGTCAAAAATAAATTTTTTAATTTAGTTTTGTACTGGTACTCATTAGAGTTAAAAATTTATTTTTGACTCTAATTATAATTTTTGGAACTTCTTGGCTTTGATTTCCCCGCTTAATGGTGTGGACCCAGCACTATTTCTCCACCGTGTTACATACAGTTCAGGCCACTTCTTTTTTCTCTCAATTGATAGTATATAGCGTAGTGAGGCTGTAGTCCTCCTCAGGCATGGTAGACCTATTGGGAAACAATGTTTTCTTATCAATACACATTGTCTTCATCAAATGGTTAGCTTTCATTCTCTCCTCCTGTACATACTTAATTTCGGATTAATTCTTTGCATTTTCCTGTAAATTATAATAGTATTGATTCTGAATTTTCACCGAATAAAATCCTCCAAAATTAGTCCTGAGAGACTGGCAGACAAGTCTGCCAGAAGGAAGTATTCGGGAAGCGGAGATAATTAGCAGCTGCCAATATTGTTAGTATGACCTGGACACCAAAATCAGCACCTTTTCTTTGCCAAGGTCATGTAACTATTTAAGGATATCAATATTAGCAAGTAGAGTGTAGCTCTTGCTCATCTCTCGAGTATTTCCAATTTATTCATTGCATCATATTGTTTCCTTTTCTCAGGATATGGCACACAACAAGCGTCCGGAACCACAGCTACAACGCAAGCACAGCAACAAACAGCAGCTGCCAATGCTAACTACACGCAAGCTTATCAACAACAAGCTGCTGCTTACGGTCAATATCCAAACGCGTACAACTGGAATCAGTATGGCCAATATGCCCAGCAGTATAGCCAATGGGCTCAGGTAATTTAGCACATATCATATCAGCTTAGCAATGAAGGATCCCACAAATGGTATAAATTAAAAATGGCTCGAAGTATTAGAACTTGTCCCGTATTATCTCGTAAGTGAGAAGTAAAGAGATTCTGTAAACTTTCGAGTACCCGCTTATGCATATGTATAGAAAAATTCTTAATGTAAATCAAGGACAGAGGAATCCCATTTTTTTTTCTATGAAGTTCCTTAATCAACCGAGTCTTCCAATGTCACCTGAAAGAATTGCTGTTCTCTTTTGTTGGTGCCACTTTGCGTTTTTGTGGTCGGGAGAGAAATAACTCAAAACATACCCCTTTCAAAGAATTTGCATCACCAATGCTATCAGTAGCTAATCTCTACTGACAATAAAAAGTCTACAAGCCACTACTTACCACAATTATTTTAGTATTTCTAAGTCACTATTATTCTTCATCAGAAATTTAAACCCACTCCTAGAATATTTGCAGTGAGAGCCACTTAAAAGTTGGGCCAAATACTAAAGTTTTTAGCAGCAGTTACAGAAGTGTGTGGATTAATTTATTACTTGTCAATTTAGAGTGACATTCCTTCGAGACCAATGCGTAACCAATTATCCAAATTGCTACTAGGGAGGACATCACCTCGAACATTCTCCATGCATTATATCCAAATGTATCAAATAATAGTAAATACCTCACCTCCTTCAATGTAACTAATGAGATTGAATCAAAACATATTGCTTCTCTGTGACGTAACAATAACAGCGTCTATGTAATGAGAGCCTAAAAACATATTGCAATGCCAGGCATATTTACTGTCACTACCAAGGTGGTAGAATAGTGCGGAGTGTACACTTTTTTGCATAAAAATTAAGGTCCGAGAATTGAAATCCAGAAGATTATTTAATCCTTTACTTGAAATTTTTTGACCTTGATTTCTTCTCAGAATTGTGTGGACTCTTCCATATTCTACAATCTTGTCACTTACAATTTGGGCCGCATTTTTAGCGGTTTTTTTTCTTGTTCATAGTCACTGTAGCATAGACTTATTGTTTCCTTTTATTTTCAGCAATGGGGTCAATACGGTTACAACTATGGTGCTGCAGCTGGCACAACCGGAGTAGCAGCAGGTGCCACCACGGGTGCCGTTGCAGGAGCAACAAATACAGCAGTTCCTCCTCCAGCTGTAGCAAACAAATAATCGCTCATCCTTGAGTGATCTCTGTAATTTTACTCCTTGACATTTAATGATGTGTGTAAAAATTCAAGCCATTTCCCCGAGTTAGATGCACGCTAAGTCCACTCAACAAGAATCTTTTTGTTAGATCAGTTACACAAGTTGCAATGAATTTGATCTTGGATACTCTTGTATTTGTGATCAATATCAGCGTCAGTCCAAAGGCCAAATTCCTAAGTCTCAAATCATTAGCGTCATTATTTTTGCGGGAAGCACAATAGTTGATGTCACTCGTGGTTTTTTCTACCGTGGTCTCAGTGAATCTCAATGAATGAACAGTAATCCATGATTTTGTAAAGGCAGCACCAATGAAACCTGGGTAGATAAAAACCATGGTACATGAATGTGGAGGATGACACGTCCATTGTGTTTTTTCTCAATGAAAATTCTCATGAACCTTTGACGCAGGATCACCATGTTTACTGCATTGTGAATATCTCTTATTGAAACTAGATACTATGATGTCTGCAATTGTCTAATTTGATCGCTGTCTCTCTCTATCCCCCAAGTTCCAGTTTGACTAGTTAACCTGAGCTATTTTTACTTGATCTTTATTTTTAAGCACAGCAAGTAATAAAACAATTTCTAGAATGTATAAATCTATTCCATTTGGTGATAACAATATCTATTTCCACTTGTAGCAAAACTGTAAGTGCTAAATTGCACGTTCACGTTAGCATTGAGTGAAAACTCCATTGAAGATCTCCGAGAACCTGTGGCTATCATAATTCTCATAAAAATTTATTTTTTATATAATTGTAATAATTTAATTGTTTGTGTATCATGAATGAAAAGAATTTGTATTGAAGATATTGAATTATCTTTTCTGGATGTATAAATTTGTATATATATAGTTTGTAATCTTACTGATGTGTTATCTTCGATTGAAATAATCTCTTGTTTCTCCATCATTTTTTCACTTTTACTTTTTCAAATGAATTTTATTCCTGAAGATTTCTCTGAATTGCATTTTTATTCTCTGGTCATCGCTCTGAAACAACAGCATATTCAAATTCAATCTTCATCAGATTTCATCCCCCACCCTGAATTTTTTTTCCTGAATAGTTTTTCTATCTCTGCTGTATTGATTGTTTGAGTTAAATAAATAGTTCTATTTATTTCTCATTAATATGTTGTTCTATTAATTTCATTAAGATAAAAGTATGATGCAATTTTTTTTTGTGCAAATTTTATTTTGCTCTTGACTAGAAACTTTCAACTTTAAAAGCATATCCAACATAATTTTCAGTTTGTCATTTTTGGAAAATGCACAAAGAAGTGCACTCTGAAGCACTTCTATCTTTGAGTTTACTTGATTACCAATGAACTAACTCATGGAGAAATGAAAATTTTAGTTTAAAAGCTGTTTGGTCAAAGGGTGCCAGCCAAACTTCAATATCTATATCTGCTGTATCATTTGTCGTATAAAGCATTTTCAAAGGAAGATGATGGGAGGTAACTAAAAACATAGCGCAATTTATAGCATTAATCTCTTAATTTTAATTATATCACATGTAACATAGAACAAATAAAAGAAAAAAAACAGCTATAAATACAATAATTACATCATATGAACTGTACAGAAGAGATTCCGCATACAATTATAAAATTTTACAAGAGACATCGAGGCGATCTGCCTGCTTTGTATTTCCTCGTAATCCATTTTCCATGGGAATTCTGAAATTCGAACTGTTAAAGGTAAAGTTAACTTGAAGCACAAGGAAGGAAAATTCTCTGAATTTGAAAGTTAAAAAAAAATATTTGAGAAAGTTACCTACTTCCAACATGAGTGAAAATTATTTAAGAACAACATTATTTAACATATATAAGAGAGAGCAAGTCCCCTGAAAAGAGATATCATACCCTTGCATTAAGCATCATTAGTCGACTTGAGGTTTCAATTATCTATTTTCAGCAGCAAGAGGCATTCTGTGCTTATTTTAGCACCTCTTAAAAGTGGTTAAGCTCATAATGTAAAATCAGGCTCATGGTTCAGAGTTTTGTGATGATGAGTGCACCAAGAGGGCTATAACTTTGCTATTAATTTAAACACAGCCACTGACGAAAGAAAATTTTCAAAAACCTGATTTCTTCAAATTCAAAACTTCAATTTTAAAATCGTTTAGAATTGGCACATTTAGAAAAAAAAGAGGGGTGGTGACAAAGGTTCTGGTTCCTATGTTTTTGTATTATTTCAGTACTTTTTGATTTTCAATCGATAGCATCCAGAAATGTTTACTTACTAGGTGATCCTGAAACAGTGAAACAGGATCATTACTTCATTGGGGACAGGGTCTTGTTCAGAGATGAATTTTAACAGAAATCGAAAATCCTAAAACAATATATTTGCGTTGTGATCTACTAAATAATGAACAATTGCATCATTTTTAAGAGGGAAGCTGGTTTGGCTACGACTAACACCATCTCTTTGTTTTTCTGACGTTGATTCATTCCTATTCACTAAATGTAGAGACCAAAGATTTGGTGCCTGATGGTGGAAAAACAATTTGAGGAGCAAAGCTCCCAAGTCTCAGGAAAATAGGTTTACTAAGTTGATTTTATATTCTAGATTGGCAGTATCCATAAGCATAATCTTGGTTATCCAAGAGAATGATGTCATAATTTTTATAAAAATCTAACTACTTAAAGGAAAACTCACGTTGAGAGATAGTTTTCCTTTCTTTCAATAAAAAAGAAACAAAAAATATAGATTAAATACTGCATGGCACCTCGTATGTTTTTGCGAAATCAACCCAAGTATGAAAAATGGTTCCAAAAAATAATTTTTTCTCAGCTTTCTCTCCTTTTACTTTTGCTGAGACTGCTGTGAAGAATATATCTTCATTAATAGTCGATCACCATTATTATAATCACCATTTATTTTGTTTCTTCCGTTTTTAAAGTTACAACATTGAAAATTATTTCTTCAAAATAATTATGTTTAATAGCAAGAAAATGAAGTATTAAGTTTGCAAGGTTAACAATGGGAGAACATTTCGATTGATGTTTAGAGAAAAATCAAATTGGCTTAGAGTGGGCAGGTGATGCCGTATTGTTAAATGAAAGAGAATAAAAACCTTAGTTGCCAACAAACGTGACTAGGTTAACACTGAGGATTGCCAAAAGCAGGGCTTCCAATCACAACCTATTTGTAGGGTCTCAAATAAGTAGATTGTTGAAAAAAAAAAAATTATAAAATTATTTACATAGGACAGAAACTAAATGTTTGATTTTTAATACATGATCGATTTGAAATAATATTGATCACATCAGCTGTGATAGTCAGTTTGTAGGTAAACATCAGAAGCTATATACTTGAACTGACCATTTCGATGTCAATTAAAGGGTGAGACTTTACATGTCTTGGGTAGTATTCATAAAAAAATTTCCTAGAATATTAGGAAATTATTCTAGAATATCAATTTGAAGAGAGGAGGGTTTGCTTAAAATGCATAATGGTAACTTTAAATAAAATCGCACTTCTTTACCGAGTTAACAAAAGAACGATGGAAACTGGAGGACAAACCTCTTCAGTTTCTTTGATTTGGTACAAAGCACCTTAAATCTAACTGTGCATATTTACAGACATGTTTGCATGGCATCATTTGATTGAATTGTACATTGACTTTGATTGGATCAGCTTGTAGAAAAATATTTCCATGTCCATTTTTCCTAATTCTGAATTTTTAGGACTCAGATGTTTTTAAAGAGATAGTAATTAAATTAGCCCTTAACTTGGGTTCTGAAATCATTTATCTAATTTAGGTTGTGAGAACATCTGATATTTTAATCTACATACATAATTGAAAACCTTGATTGTATACTGACTTCCAAAATTAATACTTGGAACATCTAACGTTTTTGTACAAGTTGAACCAAATTTTTTTATAGGTTTAACATCCACATTTATATACAAAAGAAAAAGGAAAAAACCGGTAAATTGACCAAAAAGCACGTGACTACATTGTTAAAAAGATAGAATTAAAAATAAGACAAGTCACAATCGAACTTTGCAACAAATCAATATTTTTGTAAATTTAGAGGAGGTGAGTGTATGGGTAAATGAGAATGGATCAAAGCAGTGGACCACAAAACAAGGTAAAAATTAAAGCACCACAAGACATATGTTCCCTCGTGCAATTCCACGTGGAACGTCTAGAACACTTTGAAAGCGATTGTGTGAGGTCAAGTTTTTAGGGAGTTAATGATAGACTTCACATAAAGAGCTGTAAGTTTAGACCTCTCACTAATAATGAAGTCAAAATATCAATTAAAATCTTTCGAGCATTCTGTAATAATTGGTTCCACAATAATTTCCGATTTATGTGGGTACATGATACCTCTCAAGTAGTTCAAAAGAATTCAGAACTTGGAAAAACTATTTTATCAAAACATGCCAAAACTTATTAAGAGACAATTACATCCAAGTACACTGTGGTTTTATGGCTGACAAAAAGTTTGAATTACTGTGCCCATACAGTGCTTACTCATTCATTGCTGACAAATTACTTATGCATTTACAATTTTTTGAAGTCTCAGCCATTTCCACAGGAAATTCTGATGAGGAAAATACTTGTATTGCCATGCATAATATCTCACTCTGCCTGGTGGTTTATTTTTAAAAATTCCAGGAGACCAGCAACTAGAGGCATAAAAAAACAAGAGGTATTGGTAGAAGTATGAAAGCATTATGATTCTTAAAAGGTCTTGCACAGTGAGGGAACTTCAGCAATACTATGTGACATGCGGCACTGAGGGCCACCACACGGGTGACTCCTGGCTTTAACCACGATCAATTCGACTTATACGTACGGAGGCAAGTTAGGAAGGAAAGACAAGGCACACTTCATGGCGTGCAGTCCTTGATGGCTTAAAAATGAGAGCTGTGCCGTTGGACTCAATGGCCCGTCCTAGGTAAAAACTTCCAGGAAACCCTCTTCTCTCTTATCTTCCTTATTCACCTGGAATCGTCATTTTGTTGGTGAAAATACCCTTGAGAGCCTTGTATATACCATGAAAATGAACCTGGTAAGTTTTGTTCATTACCTGTAGGCTGAGCATTGATTTTATTTTTCACACTTTTCTCACGTAGGTATTTTCCCTGTAGAAAACAGATTTATGACAGTAATTTCAGGAAGATTTAGAGTGAAGAGGCTTTTAATGGAGCTTTTAACTTCAGTAAATTAATTTGCAAAATTCATGGGTGCGATAAAGGTCACATGAAAATTATAGGGGTTGGCTTGATCCTCTTTTTTCATTTTCCCAATACGATCTCAAGTTTTTGTAAACAGGTAGGAGTTAAAATATCAAAAATAAACAAGTAATATACATTGAATAAAAACTTCTTCTTGCTTGTTGTCAAATGAAAAAATATTTTTTTTTGTTACGTAATAATGCATTAAGAGATGGAGTGAAGTCTCAGGACTTAGGTAGATAGGTACCTATAAATTCATGCATTTTGCTTTTGTAAGAGCACCTTAGTCTGTACCTAGTAATTTTAAAATTCCTCGCAAGCATAAAAAGCTAAAATATAAGCATGAAATTTCTATCTTTCTTAAAAGATATGGACCTATGATAAATACCTTTCCTTCCTCCACTCAAAATACTTTTCAGTCTTAAACAAAACAGCTATCAAGATGATTTTTAAAATATGGGCTGATTGCTTACTGCCTATACTTACTGTAGGGAAATATAAATTCCTTTTTTGAGCTTCAGCATTTTGTAAAAAAAAAAAAAAGAAAAAAAAAAAAAAAAAAAAAAAAAAAAAAAATAAATAAATAAATAAATAATTACATTGTTGGTATTTGAGGGTGTTCTGGAAGAGCTGGCAAAATCATTTTAATGCAATTTTCCTGGTTTAAAGATGAAACACTATGGAATGAGCAAATGAATTTCACCCCTTCTTGTTTACCGTAAAAAGCAAGTATAAGAATCATTAATGTAATGACCAATTGCAGCTGCCACAAAAATTTCTGTTGAAAAAGTGTAACAAAATCATTCTTGATTTTAATATGCAAATAAAAACTTATGAGTAAACCTCATTCATATAAAGGTTTTCTCAAGATGTGAAGGAAGATTGGCGTAAACATTAGTTCTACGTCATTCCATTTTTACTTTGATGGGCTATTTTTATAAAAAGGAGCACAGGTAACATCTGAGGATAATACAATTTTTCACCGAACTAAAGTCCCAATAAGAGCGAAAAATAATTAATTTTAAGAAAAATAGAAAATTTTGTTAGTATTAAGGAAGTATTTAAATGATTGTTTCAGCAATTACTTGAAACAATTCTAATCCAATAAGTTCAATTTCTGAGACTGTTTCTTAATAAAAAAGACCTTCAGCCTCTGCAGGGAAAGATTAGGAACAGAAATGCCAGCTCCTCAAGAGCACTTTTAACAAAGAGAAAATTTGAAAACAAGACAAGAAGAAAAACACATTCATAAATGAGCTAAAATCTGCATTTCAGTATCACAAGTATGGCTTGAAGTGGTAGTATCGGTTGTTGTGCCAGTTACCGTCACAATGACAGAGCCGTTAGTTTCCGGTGCACTCTGAACAATTGTGACAATATTTGAAGGTGCGTCTTTGACTATGTCCGCATCGGATTCTTTTTTACTAGAAACTATACTAAGCGGTCCAGACAAAGCAGATTCGTCTGGCACCATTTTGATAATATTTTCACTATCTGTATCACTTGCACTTCGCGTTCCAATGACAGTTATAACATTAACTGTGTTGCCACCAGCATCCGATATACTCAATTGTGAAGGATTGCGACTATGTGTGGTGCTGATGGAACCTCCAATATCACCGGTTGGATCCAGGTTGCATGATGGCCGTGTTGAACTGGTCCTCGATCTATAACTCGGAGGCCGGCTGTAGTCTAGGTTGGGAGGATGGCAGATGGGATCTCTTCTACAATTGATTGGTGGCCTGGAAAAAAGAAAGACATTTAAATATAAATAATAATAAAAAAAAAATCTAAATATGCAGAATTTGTAGGAATAAAAATTTTATCATCGAAGAAAATTCTGATATATCTTATGACATTTTAAAAGGAAAAGTTTCCTTAATTAAAAGTTTATTTTTTTAAAAAGAACGTTCCTATGAAATTTTAGTATACCATCAATTTTTTTTTAACTTGCTGCAATACTTATTAATCATAGAAGATAATTTCTATGCCCAAAATAGACTGGACAGGCAATATACCCACAGATTCCAACTTAATCCAGGCCGGATTAAGGGGGTGGCCGCATGTCGACAAATTTAAAGGGCGGCAAATGTTGTAATTTTTTCAAATGTAGGTATCAAGAAAACAATCTGATTCAGAAAAAAAATTACAAGTGAGAGAAGGCGAAAAAACCTCTAATTTCCTTAGAGTTAATGTATAGTAATTTCTAATTTGTTCGTCTTTCGGTGATACATGAGACAGCGCCTTTCATTAGTCTAGTTGAGAGAGAAACCAAACACGCAATTCGGCCTGGAGCGGCGCGGCGGTGCAGAGAGCAATGATGACGAGAACTTAATAAGATAGAAAGGAGAGGCCCTATCGGCGCACCGGTCAGCATGAAACACATATTAGCGCCTACAAGACTGCATGAATACTTCACGCATTGCGTCAAAAACAGTGCGGTCACTCGGTCAGCAGCGGTCAGCGTGAAACGCATAGCGCCTACAAGACTGTAGGGATACTTCACGCATTGCGCCAAACACAGTGCGTTTGGCGCGGTGGACCACATTCATGTTTATGCTTACTCATAATTTTTTCGTTCTTTTCTTATAAATGAGAGGCATCGTCCACACAGAGATAGGTCTACGGAACTTAATTTACGCGCAAAGTTCCGTGAAATTTTGCTAGTGTTGACAGGGCTTTCACAAAAAATGTGTCCAACACGAGTAAACGCGTCTTATGTACCCCTCCTCCTCCGGCACGTTCACTTGATGGTTTGTATGGATGGTTCTCACTTTTCTGAGAGGGGACTGCCCCCCCCCCCATTAGTTCCGCTCAGGCTAATACAGCAAAATGCTCCTCTTCATAATATGCATTGCTGTTCTCTCTGGCAAACAGTTTGATTATGTTCATTGTCGAAAAACCTTTTTATGACTAAGTATCTTTGTGATGTTGTCTATAACTACCTTAAAATGGTGCCTGGATGGGACCGGTACGTTGGCGGAGGAGAGACAGTATTTAGAGGTCCATTATTTCGATCTAGTAATAGAAGTCTAAGCCTGTACTCTTGCATAGAAGCTTGGTAAGAAGGTGGCGGTGCTCTATACTGGAACTCAGGGTACATCATGGCTGGAAAAAAAGGAAGAAAATCGATTAGAATGGAGAGAGATGGACAGTTACTAGAAGCATTAGGTGTAAACCAAACTGAGGCTCACTCCAGGTTACTGCTTGGAAGGAACTGTTTCAAGTTGCAGTTTCTTTAAACGTTGCTTTAAAAAATTAGGTATAGTCATCCAAGAATAAAATATGGACCAAATGCATACTTAAGTATGCACCTACCTAATTAGGTAGGTGCTAAACAGAAATACAAATTTGAAAATTGATTTCAAATGATTTCCATGTTTTTGAGGAATTTCTCTTTGACTTTTCAAAACGTACCTCAATTGAGACGTCTCAAAATTTAGACGTATTTATACTAAAAGGAACTATTTGCATAGTGTTCACGTGCAACATGTAGTTCCTTTTTGCGTAAGTACGTCCATTTTTACTGCTATCTCATTCTGATCACGGAAAAATGAATAAATATTTATGTTTGAAATTTTTACAGAATATTCTACATGGGTTTACATAGGCTACATAGCGACGGTGAAACTACCAAACCACGTATCTCTGTTTGCGACGTCGCAGACTTCCTGTCATACTTTATTTTTTAAATGAAAAACTACTTAACATCCAGTCTTGAAAATTTCTGTGATTTTTCCTCTTTGTGCGGAGAGAATTCCGTGAAAATTTCAAGGAATGATATTGATTTGGTCTACTTCAAAAAAATAAAATGTGAGCGTAGATTTTTAAACACCGCAAACGAGATACGTGGTTTGGTAGTTTCACCGTCGATAGGCTACATAGGCTAAAAATCTTTAAGCCATAATTGCTAATGGCTTTTTTCTTTATCTTGTATCTTCAACACCCGATGGTCATCTCATGAAAAACCCCCGGAAAATGATTCCATGCGTCATATTTCAAAACTTTAAAAAGAGACGGCTCATTTGGAGGATACTATCTGTACAGATCATGAAACTCGGCTCAGTACTGCTGTGCTAAGGGAAAACGTCGTATGAGCCTTTAGACGTTGCCAAATGTCCTCCGATAAAAACCGAATTCACTGGGAAAATTCTGAATCTTATTTTTCAAAATTTTCAGACAATTATGTACGCAATTTGATTTAAAATATCAGACAATTTCAGGGGAAAATATACTTGAATTGCGTCAAAAATCAGGTTCCATCAAGAGAAAGGCAACTCTTGAATGTTGATACGACGTTCTTCCTTGGCAAGGCAGAGTGGACCTAAGGAGGAAATCTTGAGGAAAACAACTTTCACTGGAAAAAAAAAACACATTGGATCTAGAGTCCAGACTCTTGAAAACATTGACAAGAAAAAATACTCTTGATTCAATCGGATTTTTGCTTGAATCAAAACGAAATCCGCTTAAATTAAGAGGCTTGGTTCTTGATTTAAGCTAGATTCTGATTGAATCAAGAGTATTTTTTCTTGTCGATGTTTTTAAGAGTCTGGACTCTAGATCCAATGTGTTTTTTTTTTTTTTCCAGTGTTGAGTGGTAAGCTTGGACATATGATTTTCCGGTGTTTGGGGTTATTGCCCACTATGGACGTGGGTGGGAGTTGAGAGGTGTAGCCAACTTACCAGCATAAGGGTGGTGGGGTCTGCCGTAGGTTGGGGGGAGCCGCGGGACGAACCTCCTGTTGGGTTCGCCGATGCCCTCCTCGCCAGCGCCCAGACCCAGCATGACCCGACACGACGGGGCATCTCGTGACGTCATCCGCCATGCAACACCACTCACCGCCACCAGCACTATCCCTACTCCTGCAAACAAACAACATAGAGAATTAATAACAGGGGCAATCGGCATTAAACCTCCTTGTAAAAACCCAGTTTTAACTTTGTTGAAAACCTCGGAGTGAATAAATTTCGCTTCGAAGTCTATTTGAAGCGGAGCGGAATCTAGGTACTCTTTTTGGGGAGTGAACTCTTCTCTTAAAAATTGAAATCAACTCTTTTTGCAGGGTCGACTCCACTCTTACGGAGTGGGTTTACTCCTGATGCATCACTCGGGTATTTCGAGGACAAAATAGGTTTCGAAAAGAAATTTATTCCGGATTTCACTCCAACATTTCAACAGTGTGAGTCTCTGTAGGCAAAAAGGACTGCGTTTAGCAGAGAGGGACCAAGCCACATTAGCTGTTGACAAATTCTATGGAGCAGTTTAATTTACTCACAGGAGACGGTTAAAGCAGATTTTGGGGGAATTTGCTTCATACTCTGCAGAATATTTACTAAAATTTGCACACAAAAAAATCCGCACAACCGTATTTAGGTATGTAAAAAAATTAAATTGTCGGAATAAAGGCAATAGCTGATGTGATTGGTTCTTTTCTGCTTAACGCAGTCCAAATATAGTTCAAGTCAGAGCAGACATGCAAACAGAAGTCTTTCTTAGTGAAGGAGTTTCATGAAATTTAATCGAATTTCCAGGGGCTGAGTCGTGGGATTGTTTTGATTGTTTTTCTTCATTCCTCGGAACGGAAACGGCAATGAAACGAAAATTTAGGTTTACTTGGGTTCCCACTCTCCTCCCGCTCTTAATAACCAGCCCATCTTGCACCTTGACGCTTTTTCACTGTGTGGAAGTGGAGTAAAACATTCCATTTAACAATGATACCACTATTCGACCACGCAGGAGCTCGGGTTGCCTACACTAAATATTGAAGGCGAACTGATAAGGCATTAATTGAATCTTCACCCGTTACCTTTTTGTGTGCTCGGAGTGAACGCGTAATTTCAAGACGATACCACTATTCGAGCACGTAAGAGCTCGTGTTGCCTACACTGAAATTGAAGGCGATCCGACGCATTAATGTAATCTCTTCACGTTTGGTAAAAAGCATTTTTTTTTAAATTATTTATCATACTCCGGACTCATCTGAACAATTCAACATTTTTTACTGTCATCTGATGAAAAAGAAATGATACAATTTTGCGAGTGGGCAACACAGCGCCGAAAAGAGCACAGAGCGAGGATTGAGGGTGGGAAGGAAGAAGATATTGAGGGTTGAGGTTGTCAGATATGCCTTGAAAACGCTGTTGCGGGGGAGTTTTACGGCGAGGTTTGGCGCTATGACAGGGGCGGGAAAGATGCGATATCAGCCCAAGGCACATGTTTTGTGCTCCAGCTGACAAAAGATTGCGCTTTTTGGGAAGAGTGTGTTTTTTCAGCCAGCGCTGTGGGGATGATTCTTGTCAGCTCTAGCTTATTTTTGTTGGCATGTAAAGCGCTCGCCACGCTCTGAGATGAAAAACTTATCAGGCGTCTCTTAAAGTGTCTATTATTTTCCATTCTTAACGCACTTGTCATCACTTTTTACGACATAGGCGGTAGAAAATTTCTCTATACATCCTACGGCATGCTACATGAGCTCTCATTTGCTGTTAACCGATCGGAGGAATACCTCTTGATCGCTCCTGAGACTTACACTGAAGAAAAACCTGCTAAAATCTACACATGAAATAGTGAAAAAAGGTGACAACTCATCAAAATAGATTAAGAACACCGGGTTGATTTAACTAATTTGGTGATTTGTCACCGTATTTTAGCAATTTTTTTTTTCAGTGTAAGTAAACATGGACACATATGATTTCGTGATGTTTCGTAGAATTGTCAAATTGTATTAAAAGTGCAACCTCTGAAAAAGATGTTGGCTGGAGGTGGCTTGGCTTTATGCTTCATTTCATTGTGCATAAGTGCTCAAGGGCTGAAATTAAATTTCCAACATGCGTTCATTCTTTCATTTTCTTTTTCGCGGGAAACAGCCGTAAGTTTTTTTTTTTTTTTTTGGAGGATGGGAGGGAAGAACTGAGGGAGAGATTTGAGACTCTCGTGAGCCATCTTTTTTTATTCTCATGAACATAAAAGTGTCGTGGACGAGAGAAAAAATAAAATAAAATAATCGTGATGATTATAGGTTATACTACACAATACTGGGAAGCACAATATTTTGAGGAAGTCATTTACTTTTGGCATGGTAGGTAAAAGCATACCAAGGTAAAGTCTATCGGTATAATATCATGCTGGACCAACAGGATATCAGTATTATAAAATGCTGGCAGGGAAAACCACTAGACCAGTATGATAGCAGCAAGATATCAAGCTGATATCATACAGGGGCCAATTCTCTTTATGCATAATATCATGGTGACGAAGGTAGGACCCCAAACCTGAATAGATTCATTCACAAAATAAATCTGTCACTTTCTGTGGTTTTTCTTGGTTACTCATTATTTTCTTGAGATGATATAAGCTTGAAAGGAACTTACCTATCATTAAGATTGAGACTGTGAGATGCTCCCTGCCGGATATCCTCATAACGCCCAAAACTGAGCCAACTACGGCACAGCATAATCCTAGGAAAAACACGACCAGAATAAACCACCGGATGGCGAGCGTTTGCGACAGAGAAACACCGCAACATGACTTGGGCTCCTCTTCAGGGGTGTAGTGCGACTCCCTCCCGCCAAAACGAGATCTGTAATCAAACGAAAATCAAAATATAGGAGCAAGACGTTCAGGTAAAGTTCTGCGGAAAAACAAAACTCTAACATGGTGGTTGGAAAATTACACAAGGCCGTCGCGAGGGTAAATATTGCCACCCACGCAAACATCAAAGGAGTCTCCTCAATAGAGGGCACGGTGGCGTGCATGCACCCCCCTTCGGGCAAAAGAAAAGAGGGAGGAGGGAAAAGGAAGGAAGGAGAGAGATAAAGAAAGTAAGAGTAGCTTACCCAAAAATTTACAACGATTGTTTTGGGACCAAACTGTGAATTATTCCTCTCTTTGGGGAGAGAGGAGAGGGGTCGCTTTTTTATTACCTAAACAATATTGTTAAGTTTAACGTTCCTGCCCCACTATCTTTGCTATTTTTCCTTTATAATGGACATTAAGGACTTAGTAAAGAGGTGAAATCCGTCAATATTGAACACTCAAATATTTTTTAAATCTAAAGCTAGAACAACTTACAATTTGTTCTGGAAGGGGTTCCTTTAGACAAGTTTTAAGGAGAAGGCCCACCCGTGCTCGGGGAGGGGGAGGGGGGTGTTCCCCTAGGCCCACCGCTCCCCTCTGCAAGATGTCTCTGGATTCGCCACTGCGTCCCCTCCCCTACCCGCACCCGCTGATAATGACTGATAAATAGAGGAAAGAGGAATGAACACGGGAATCTCTGAGAAATTAAATAAATATAGAATTGTGAGACATTTTGGTGACCTCACGATCTCAGGATTGGCGCCGCACGCAAGTGCGTAGTTTTTGTGCCCCTTGCGATGCGGCTACACAAGGGACAAGTTTTGCCAGCATGTGCCAAAATGAAAGTTTCCAGACACTCGAAAACCCCATCAAGAACCGTCGACTGAAACGCAGACATCGGCCCGCGGTGGAGCCGAGTCAAACGGAACAACGCGAATCGTGCTTCACATTAACTTAACCAACTATCAACTTCTCTTTTCCAAGTCGTTGAGAATGGGGTTTATACCAGTTTCTCCTGCGATACTTTGTTGCCTCCGACGCGGCAGCTAAGGTAACTCACGCCTGTCAGACCTCCAACTGCCCACGGATGCGTTACTCCCGAAAGACAGTGTTAAACGTCGTCGTGCGCCGCGCACTGGTCATGTTGTCGCAAGAAGAACGCATTCTTCGGACATGCAGTTCGTCGTCCCTCAAACAAAGGAACATAACTCCATTCTAAGGTTGCCAAATTGACTTGAGAACAATTCAATTTTTTACAATGAAGAAAAAAACCTCGTGCGTGGGACCCGAAGTTTAGGTCATATGGATCTCTGAAGTTTTCGGATTGAGCATCTGAACACTTTAGGTCTAGCTGTCGAGGTTCGGATCACACATCTGAAACTCCAGCTTTTACATCTGAAGTACTTCAGATGTGAGAGCCAAAGTTTTTCGGATGTGAGAACCGAAGTTTTTCGGATGAGAAAACCGAAGTACTTCAGATGTAAGAACTAAAGTTTCAGATGTGTGGTCCAAACCTCAGCAGCTGGACTTAAAGTGTTCAGATGCTCAATCCGAAAACTTCTGGGATCCATATGATCTAAACTTCGGGTCTCACGCACGAAGTTTTTTTCTCCGTGTACCTGTGCCATTTTGTGTCCAAAATCTTCCTCACTTTTGCTTGAGATCAGAAGAAAAATCAGTGATATTTTCAGTTAAAAACGCCCAAAATTCTCCTGTTAAAATTGCAATTTGCGAGGGAAAAATTGGCAACAATGAATTTTAGTTACGTTCTTTCGTGGAGGGATTAGTTTCCTGGTTACAATAGGTCAGTTTGTCGCATTGGTTTTCTTAAGAACGCAACTACACTTCTTAGTAAGCCCTGTTTTCCATGTAACTCAATGCTGTCCCGTGCTCATCTCTGAGTGTACTTACGCCCTTTTGCGAGCTAAGCGACAAGTCGTGAACCAGAACTTGAATTCAAGGGTCCTCCGTGTCCTACGAGTAACCCGGGCACAGGGTTCATGCAGCACAGTGAGTTGGGCTGGTCTAGTCTTCTACGCTTGATTTCTGACCGTCTGTCCGTTTTCAAACGTCCCTACAAAGTTGCAAAGCGGGACCTTTGACGGCGGGCGACTTTCGGAGGCGGCGATACCGGCTGAGGCAATAAGAAAGGCTCATAACGGCTCATGAAAAGCGACCCGACGCCTCGCTTTCTTCATTGTAGTCGAGTTTATGACCGACTGACGTCATTAAGTTACACTGAGCCCGGTGTCTTACGTCATATTGGAACTTGATCTACACGGAGAACTTGGGATGCACGCATTGCTCGTACCTACATGTATTTATCATTCACATATTGTGCAGCGTTTAAAGTATCTTAATGTTGGAAAACTAGTCAACTAAAAGGTCGGGTTCAATATCTCTTAGTGCTGAGGAGGTTGTAAGGAACATCACATCAAAAAATTAAGCGGCACCGCCTTTCTTAATGTTCTGAGCCATATGGCAAAAAGGAGGTGGTCGCATTTCGGGCATCTTGGATTTTGTTGATGACGTAGGTCAGTACGGACAGTTTATATCATCGATTTTCTTGGAATCGGTGTCGTTTATGGAAAAAATTTACTCTATATGGACGTATTTCTGTCAAACGGAACTAAGCGCCATAGGGGGAGGAAGGTAGAGGGGGGGCTTCGATTGGCGGCGGAACCGGGCGTCGGGCTCATTCCGTCCTATACTCGTAATGCTTTTCCATGGCGCTTAGTTCCCTTAGATAGAACGCGCTTTCCGGCATTCTAAATTCCTCAAAAGGAACTTAAATTGGCGCTTAGTTCCGTTTGACAGAAATACGTCCATATAAGGCGTTGGAAATTATACTTTGAGTTAATCTAAGCAAAAAAATCGGACGTTATGGTCCGTTTTTCATACTTGAACCGTAGGATTTTGCTGGAAGATCGACGCCATATTGTACCGACCTACGTTACGGGGTAAACAATGCTCAAGATACGACCGGCTCCTTTTTTCTCCACATGGTTCTGGACATGTTTCTTGCATGAAATATCTCTCGTAATACTTCAGGATCTTACTTTAATTTTCCGTGCTCAAGAAGGAATGGTGGAAGAAAGGCGTTTCGTTAAGCGTGGCCTAGGAATGCGGCGCGTGCATGAATGGATGCGTTCACGGCGAATGCGCCCGTTGCTCATATGGATGCACGCATTTTGAGACCGGTGCGCGCGCTCCGAGCCGAGGCTCAGGGCCCAGGCGGATGCATGAGTACATGGGCTCATTAAAATGAACTCATCAGCCATCCTTGACCCACTAACACGGAGGCTTTCAGCTTCGTTTGAGAGGTGGAAAACGGCGCGTTGCCAAATGTCGCGCCCTTCCCACCGCTGCACTAACGCGCTGACGCTCCTCGTGAATGTCACGGACACTCAAATGACACTGACCCCGGACGAAATGACATTTGGACCGACGGAGACGATACGCTGGGCTGCGGTGTCGCGGACACGGGTGAGCGGAACACAGACGCACATTTGCTCCGAGGAAGAAGAAAAACATTTCTGTCATCATGAGTCGCGGTTCCTTAAATGAGTGCGACCAATTAGGAAATCATCTTTTGTCAAATGGGCGGCTTTAATCAAAATCATCCTATAAATCATCTTCATCGTCTACGAACGACTAGGACATAGCCCTGTTTGTCAGGTCATCTGGTGCCGAGACGAGCACATACCATCATAAATACTATAAAATAAAGAAATCGGTAAGTATATAAATAAAGGACTCGACGAATCAATATAAAAGAGCGATGAAATAGTTCAAAGCCTGAGACCTCAAATCCTGATAGAATCGGGAAAATCCTGATGCTAGACACCCTGCAAGAACGGTTACGGACAGCTGTCTCGGTTTCAACGAGTTTTCCTTATCATTCAAAATCAAGTTTTTTTTTAAAGTTTTAAGTGGTTTATAATAGCAGTTATAAAGTGATGATAGGACAAATTGTGCAAAACGAAGATACTTCAAAGCTATTGGTGTCAAATTACAATTTGAAAATTTGGAATATGCCTTAGTTACTCATTTGATTTTCTTCAATTGGATTAAATACTCAAAGCGCCCTATTTCGCGCGAAGCCGACGTACAAAAGCATTGAATTACACATTTTGTCATTAGAAGTGGAAAAACTTGAAGATGCTCCGGACTTTTAAATGGCTAGGCGTAGATGCAACTTTTGGTGTTCTGGGGATGTCCACGTTGCATTCCCAAAAATTGAAGGCACTCTGGTTTTCTTAGGCACAACATATAGCTGAGATTGTTAGCTCCCGAGGGTTTTCTACGTTATAACCTTGCTTACCGTGAAATCCTTAAAATTCGGTTGAGTCGAGTGACAACACTGCAGCGTTGCAAAATGGAGCAAATTGCGGAAACGTGGTGGTAATTTGCGGGATTGACATCCACGATTTCTTTGTGAAAATGTTTTAGGTGGTAATTTGCATCATCTGGCACCGCTGCCGTGATGCAGCAGGGTCCATTCGAACTCCAAGGATTTTATGGTAAACAAGACTGTGTATACGACATAGAGAACCCGTAAGAACGAAGGTCTTGTCCACACGAGCGCGGTTCGTGGAACTTCGGGCGAATAAGTTCCAGGAACTTGTTATAACTCACCTATAACTTGTTCCTGGAATCCCAGTTCGCGGAACTAATTCGTCCAAACTGCGCTCGTGTGGACAAGGCCCAACAACCCCGGCCAGACGATGTGGCTTAGAAAGCTAAAGCGCCTGCAATGTTTTGGTATGCAACATGCACATCCCGAGAACACGAATAGATGCATCTCGCCATTGAAAAATTCGGATCGCCTTCAATTGTGTCCACTTGTGGTAACAAAATATGTCACTTATTGCGTTTATACGTCATCGTTACACGAAAATAAGGCGGTTTGAGTATTTAATCAAATTGAAAAAAAGAAATAAGTAAATTGATGTTTAATGTAAAAATAAAAGAGAGACATTTCATGCGGCAATCACTAGCCTG